TGCCTCCCAGGCAAACGTTCAACTGGCATCATAGGAGCCGTTCCTCATGTGCTTTACCTCATTTCCTTCTTGACACCAGGCCTGCTCTTGAATCTCTTTAGAAAACATTCTTTTTCTTTCATTTTTTGTGGGGTGGTGGTTGAGATGCGGTCTCTCTATGTAGCCCTGGCTGTCCTGAAACTCTGTGTAGACCAAGCTGGCCTCATATGTCTGCCTCTAGCTCCTTTGTTCAGAAATTAAAGGAGTATACCACCATGCCTGGGTTCTCTCCCCTTTTTAATTTCTCTGGGTTTCTCTGTGTAGCCCTGGCTGTCCTGGGACTTGCTCTGTAGACCAGGCTGGCCTTGAACTTAGAGATTCCCCTGCCTCTGCCTCCTAAGTGCTGGACTGAAAACATTTGCCACCACCTGTCTCTTTTTTTCTTTATTCTTTGTTTTTTTAAGACAGTGTTTCTCTCTGTATTCCCTTCTGCATGCTGTGAATAGGTTTTATTACTATTTGTTAATAAAGAAGCAGCTTTGGGCCTACAGCAGGGCAGAATAGAGCAAGGCAAGAATTCCAAGCAGAGAGAGATAGAGGAGAAAAGAAGGCAGAGTCATGGAGATTCCATGTAGCTACTAAAGGAGAAGGACAGCCTGGTCTACAGAATGTGTTCCAGGACAGCCAAAGATACATAGAGGAACCCTGTCTCAAAAAAAAAAATAAAATAAAAGAAATGGAGTTTAAAATAAAGCCATGTAAAGATAGAAAATACAAAAAGAATCTGAATACTGTATGTTTTTGTGTTGTCTTTGAATTGTTTGATGGCTGAGGAAGGAGCAACAGCTGCTAAAAGACATTGGATTATAAATGTTGCTGGATTAATCCAATCTATATATTTTGAAAATGCTTTGACTTCAAAATTTGATTCAAAAAATATTACTTTGGAGAAGAGATTTTTGCTTTTGTTTCCACAGGAAATGAGAGGCTGTGGATTCATTCTGGGTTAAGAAAAATCAGGTTTGATCAAGGAAGACCCCCCTGAAAATTCTCCAATAGGAACAGATGGCACAGATGATTCAACATTTCAGAGGACCTCTGTTGGAGTTTTCCTCTGAGTTCTACATCCAGAACAGCCTCTCAAGATTATTGGCTGAGGTGATCCAGCCTCACAGAATATTCCAGTCAGGACTTAACTATAATCCTAAATTTTCTTTAGGTCCCCATAAGATTACCAGCACCCCCAATCAACAGGAAGTAACCTAGAAAACTATGCCCATATTCCCATAAAATGGATTATGGATGTTTGTCTTTGTTTAGAGTGTTGGTTACAAGTTATTATGGATAATGGTCAGGAAAAAAAAAGCTAAACAAAGGAGATCAGATTTAGAGTTCTTGTTTTCAAAAGAAAAAAAGGGAAAGTACTGTGGGACAATGATCTTTCCACAATACCCAAATTCCCTAAATGATTGCTTATAAATGTTTCTTTACATTTAAAGGGGGATATGCTATAGAGATGAATACTTTGCATTGGTATAGATCTTGGTCTATTAATACAAATTTAAAGTCAATTTTATTATACATATTTCTGCTCTTGATTAAGGTATTGTGTTTGTGCAACTCATTTAAAAATGTAATGTATAACTAAGAAATACAGGTCAATAGTCATCTATAATAGTCAAGCTTGTAGTCTTTTTAAGTTCGGTTTTCTAGATGTATAGAGATATATTTCAAATGGGTAGGTATTCTTCAAACCTTTCAAAGACTAACAGAATAAGGCATTTAAAATGTTTTAAGAACTTAGGACTTCTCATGATGAGATTCATTTGCTCCTGGCAGCACCGATCTACTTCAAGAGGATGATGGGCACTGAAGGGGCTTCTTATGGAGTTTGTTAGCCATTTGGACAAGAGATTGCTCTTGCCTGGACTGCTTGATGTTATGCTGTATAAACTGGACATACAGCACCCACAGAAAAATCACTGCTAAAGTTGTCTAAAGAAGGTGAGACAATATTTCAGGGTTCCTGCTTCATGAAAGAGTCTGCCGGGCTTTTTGCAGAACACAGAAGAAAGTGACTGACAAACTGCCAATACAGGCAGAACTGTCTTTGAAATCTCCTGCTTTATGAAAAAGTCTTCTGGATACTATGGGCCTATAGGCTGAAGATGAATACCCCAATGTTACAGAAGAACTTTGGGTGACTGTCCAAGCAGTGAGATGTCTGTCAATTATAGAGTTTTGAAAGTTGTTTACAATGCAATTCCTGTTTTCCTAGGTAATATTATATCCTTCTGGAATCTTTGATGGAGTTGAAGAAAGACAGTTTTATAACTATAAAAGACAGATTAGGTATAAAACTTTAGTCTCACAAAGATAGCTAAGAGTATTTTCCTTAATTTGCCAAATGTAAATGGACTAAATATTGTAATTGTAATTTTTGCTTGATAACTGTTTTGCTGTATGTAATCTTGCTATGTTAAAGTTAAAACCTTCCTTTTTATTTAGACAGAAAATGGGAGGTGATATGGGATTGCCTTCTGTATGCTATGAATATGTTTTATTACTATTGTTAATAAAGAATCTGCAGCAGCATAGAATAGAGCAAGGCAGGAATTCCAAGCAGAGATAGAGAAGAAAAGAAGGTGGAGTCAGGGAGACGCCATGTAGCTGCTGAAGAAGACAGATGCCTACCCCAGAACCTTACAACTAAACCATGAGCCTCATGGTAAAATATAAAAAAATAGAAATGGGTTAACTTGCCAGGCAGTGGTGGTGCACGCCTTTAATCCCAGCACTCAAGAGGCAGAGGCAGGCGGATCTCTGTGAGTTCGAGACCAGCCTGGTCTGTAAGAGCTAGCTCCAGAACAGGCTCTAAAGCTACAGAGAAACCCTGTCTCGAAAAACCAAAAAAAGAAAAAAGAAAAAAAGAAATGGGTTAACTTAAGATATAAAAGTTAGTTAAGGGCTGGAGAGATGGCTCAGAGGTTAAGAGCACTGGCTGCTCCTCCAGAGGTCCTGAGTTCAATTCCCAGCAACCATATGGTGGCTCACAACCATCTGTACTGAGATCTGGTGCCCTCCTCTGGCGTGTGGGCATACATCGAGGCAGAATGTTGTATACATAATAAATAAATAAATCTTTTAAAAAAAGTTAGTTAATAAGAAGCCTGAGCTAGATACAGTGGAAAAAAAAAAAGAAGCCTGAGCTAATAGGCCAAGCAGTGTTAATTTAGTTTCTGTGTGATTATTTTAGGTCAGGGCAGCCAGGAAATGAAGGAGCAGTCTCGGCCTACATGTAGCCCTGGCTGTCCTGGAACTAGCTCTGTTAACCAGGCTGTCCTCAAACTCAGAGATCCACCTGCCTCTGAAGTGCTGTGACTGAAGATGTGTGCCCCCACTGTCCAGGTCACTTTTTAAAAATTTAATATTGGGGAAAGGAATGTAGGTGGAAAGGCACATGTTACACATGTCCAACGTGTAGAGGTCAGAGGGCAACTTTCAGGAGTCAGTTCTTTTCTTCCTCTGTGAATCCCAAGGATTGAACTCAGGTCATTAGGCTTGTATAGGAAACACTTTTATCTACTGAACCCTCTTGCTGGTCTTCATTTAACCTTCAAGTAAGTGGCTTCTTTTGCTAGACCAACTCACTGACAGCTCTAAGATGGAAATGGAGGAATAGCCTGCCAGTCATTGGTAGGCACCAACAAAGATGAGATGTAATTTTTAATCCAAGCATGGCAGTGAGTGCTTGAAATCCTCATGCCTGGGAGGTGGAAGCAGGAGTATCAGGAGTTCAAAGCTGGGCTGGAGATGGCTCAGTGCTTAAAAGCATGTACTGCTCTTGCAGAGGACCAGAGTTCAGTTCCCAGAACTCACTGGGGCAGCTCAAAACTACCTATAACTGTAGCTCTAGGACACCCAGTTCCTCCTTCTGGTCTCTGCCAACATCAATACTCATATGCGAGCCCCTGCCATGCATTCATAAATAAATACTTTTTTCTTGAGACAGGGTTTCGCTGTGCTGTCCTGGCTGTCCTGTAACTTGCTTTGTAGACCAGGCAGGCCTTGAACTCACAGATATCTCTGCCTCTGCCGGGATTCAAGGCATGCACCATCACTGCCGGGCCATAAAAAATAAATAAATAAATAAATATTTTAAAAGTTTAAAGATATTTTAAGTTATTTTTAATGAGTTCAAGGTCAGCCTGAGCTTAGTAAGATCTTCTCTGAAAACATACAAGCAAAACAAAGTACCCTGGTTTTTATGAAGCTATCTGGCTGCTGCACACAGCTTGTTGTCCTTGTCCTCATTACTACTAAATGCCAGGCACTAGAAACCTAGGACTAAGAGGAAACAAGAGACAAAAATCCGTTGGGTTGGGCTGCAGAGATGGCTCTCCTGTTAAAAGCAAAAGCACCGGCTGACCTTCTAAAGGTCCGGAGTTCAATCCCCAGCAACTACATCGTGGCTCACAACCATCTGTCATGAGATCTGGTGTCCTCTTCTGGCCTGCAGGCACATATGCAGGCAGAATACTGTATACTACATAATAAATAAATAAACGTTTAAAAATAAAATACGTTGGTTTCAGAGAGCTAACAATGCTGAATACCTCAAACATGTGACGCTCCACATAGAGTTAAAGGGAAAAATACAAAACAAAACAGGAGATGGGCAGGGAGAACTATGTGTCTACACATCCCTGTCACCTTTTCGCTCACATTGTGGCAGTGAAGGAACTACATTATCTACACCTGCATCTTCCTAATAGCGTCTCCCAGGACTCAGGCAAGCTGGACCAAGGGTCTAGCCAGCGGCTCCCCCCACCCCCGCATGAGCCCCACCCCTCCCGGAGCCACGCCCCGCGCTTGCGCTCACTTGTAGAAGCTCAGGGGCAGGTTGTCTGGCCGAGCTGGAGCAGTTTGGAGCCCAGCGGTACCTAGGAATAGCTAGCTGTCCGACCCCGTCGAGTCCTGCCCAGTCAGCGGTACCACTTTGGCCCAACCCCGCCCGCCTGCAATCAGCCAGCCTCACGTCATCCCAGGGGCAGTGGGGTGGGGGAAATGTCGCAACACGTGACGGGGAAACTGAGGATGCAGACGTACACGATGTCGCTCGTGCTACCACGACTACGCCCCTATCACGCGCGCAAAGCCTGCCCCTCACCACTTGCATAGGCAAGAGTAGGGCGGTGGTGTTCCCGGGCCTGCGCCAAGTCCACGGCTCCCCGGCCCCGCCCTAGACCTACATCCGGGAGACTGCTGCAACTTGAGTAGTCGCCCTGGACTGTGGCAAAGGACGAGCCGAGGGCTTAGCCTCGTAGAAGTGAAAGCCCCAGGTCTCCGTGGACGAAGGAAACGCCAGCTGAAGATGAGCAAGCGAGGCTCCTGAAAGCAGTGCACTAGACCGGCCGTGGCTCCACCCTCAGCTCCGCCCCTTAGCTCCCATTGGCCACGAGTCCGCCAAGCAGCCCCAAGATTGGCCAGACGGGCTGCCGGCTGGGTCCAATGGGCGGCGGCGCCGGCTTTCCCGCGGCCATTCGCTCTTCGAGTGGGTGCTGGCGACAGGCGGCTGTTGAGGGCTTAACGGACGCTGGTCTCTGCCAGGATGATGGCGGCCCTAGCGGCCGGAGGCTACGCGCGGAGTGACACGGTAGAGAAGCTGCCCTCTGTTATGGCGGGAGTTCCGGCGCGGAGAAACCAGTCCTCCCCGCCTCCTGCCCCACCGCTCTGCCTCCGGCGCCGGACACGACTCGCGGCGGCTCCTGAGGACACTGTGCAGAACCGGGTGAGAGTCCGCTCCTTCCGAGGACCCAGCCCCGGGCTTCTCGGTGCCACCTTGGTCCCGCCCGAGGCCCTTGGGTCCTCCTATCTCTCTTTATGTGTTGCCGCAGGCTGCCTGCCAGGCCCGCCTGGCCCGGAAGACCCGCCCCCTTCGCAAAGGCTCCTCCCACTTTTCTGCTGGCTTGGGCGTTGGGTGCCGCCCATCATTCTGGCTCCACCTAGAGCGTTGGCAAATTGCGTTTAGTTCTAACTCTTGGGAAAATATTTTACGTTTACAAATCTTCCCTAGTCTCACTTTCTCACTGAGTAATCTAAGATACTTATCTATTCCATTCCAGTGTTTTCTTGTTGCTTATTTCCTTTTTTTTTTTTTTTTAATTTTGTGGAATAGGGCTGGCTATCCACAACAGCAACAAGACAGTGCCATCCCTGGGTATGAGGAAGAGGGCGGCTTGGCTCTTGACCTGCCTCTTCTCTGACGCCCCAGGATAAGGCCTGGCCTTCTGGCCCTTATTTTGTTGACATCAGTCCCCTGATGTAGTAGACCTTTACTCGCTTCCCTTACTTGCTTAACCTTTCCGATCTACCTTCCTTTCCTTCACTAGAAGGGATTCCTGCTCCGTATTTATGGCTCGCAATCATGGAGAATGGGAGGAATGATTTGTAAAGTCTTAGTGGTGCTGCCCTGGGAGGAGGGTTACAGAACAATTCCACAGATTTTGAGACCCAGAAATGATTTTAGGTAGAAGGAATGCTATAAGCAAGACATTTTTTAATAAAGATTTTTATTTCTTTTTATGTGCACTGGTGTTTTGCCTGCATGTATATGTCTGTGGTGAGGGTCCCAGGTCCCCTGGGACTGGAGTTACAGATCGTTATGAGCTGCCATGTGGGTGCTAAGAATTGAACCTGGATCCTCAGGAAGAGCAGCCAGTGCTCTTACCCTTGGAGCCATGTCTCCAGCTCCTGCAGAACATTTTGTTGTTGTTTTTTCGAGACAGGGTTTCTCTGTTTCTCTGTGTAACAGCCTTAGCTGTCATGGAACTTACTTTGTAGACCAGGCTGGCCTCTGCCTCCTGAGTGCTGGAATTAAAGGCATGCACCACCATCGCCTGGCACAAAACATTTTTTATATTACATTTATTTATTGGGGGAGCTGGATTTTGTACCATGGTGTAGGTATAAGTGTGTGAGGTCAACTTTTGAAATTAAACTCTCCTAGTGGGTTTTGGGGATCTGAACTCAAGTTGTCAGCTTTGTTCCCAAGAACCTCTCCCTCCTAAGCTGTTTTCTGCTCTAGAGGTAGAGGGACCCAGGAGCATGGAGCCAATAAATGAGTCAGACTAAAGTCCCGTGCAATAGCCAGCTTTATTCAGAGCATAGACAGTTTGCACTCCGAGGGTTAAGAGGAGTCACATGAGTAAAGTGTCCGTCACAAGGGCACGCCCCATGTGGCAGAAACATGTTTTTCTGTAGAGGCATAAAAACAAATAACAATAGCCAGTTGTAATGAGTAAATTGAAGTAAGCTCACTCCTGTCCGCTACACCTGGGAGGGGCACAAAAGCACAATCCAAGAACAGTTCTGTGTTTTTGAAGAAACTGAGGTTGCAAGGCTCTGGTCTTGGTTTCTTGGAGTTTCCTTACCAACACCCAGAATTCCCCCTCACATGACTCCATTCCTGGGCCATGTTCTGACACTGAGCCACCTCTCTGGCCCCAGAGCAATAGTTTTTTGGTTTGGGTTTTTTTTTTTTTTTGCTATTGTTATTGTTTTAGGGTTTATTTATTCTTATGTGGGTGTTCTGCCTACATGTATATATGTGCATTCTGTGGGTGCCTGGTGCATCAGGAGGCCAGAAGAGGGTGTCGGTTCCTCGGGACCTGGAGTTACAGATGGCTGTGGTCCTTTGGGAGAGCAACAGTGTACTCTTCACTGCCGAGCCTCCTTTCCAGCCCACCAGCAACACTAAGAGTGGTTCTCTAGTCATTGCTGGGCACACAATCTTTTTATAACATGGCGATGACAGCCACACAATGGGATTGAAGGGAGAGGAAATGGTGACTGTCTCCTTGGCACACACAGTGTCCAGATAAAGGATGGATCCATGGCAGCTGCTTCTGACTCTTTTTCCTCTCTGGTGGGCTTTCGATCTCTTAGAGAATCCCCCCAAGAGTGCCAGATTATAGGCAAGTGGTCCCTGCCCACAAGGCCTTTCTATTGTGTAGCTCTGATTATCCTGGAACTCTATATAGACCAGGCCAGCCCCAAATGCAGAGATCCACTTGACTCTATCTCTCAAGTGCTGGGATTAAAGGCGTGCACCACCACATCTGACCCTTGCTCACCATAGTGGCTGTACCTTCTTTTCTGTTTTTTTGTTTTGTTTTGTTTTGTTTTTCAAGTCAGAATTTTTCTGTGTAGCCCCAGCTGTCCTGGGACTCACTCTGTTGACCAGGCTGGCCTCCAACTCAGAGATCCACCTGCCTCTGCCTCCTGAGGGCTAGGATTAAAAGCGTGCACCATCACTACCACCACCACCGGCTGCCTGTACCTTCTCTGTCCTCCCTTTCACTGAGGTTCAGCCATACCAGCCTGCTTTTTGTTTTTCTGAAGTTGCTAGTTCTTTTCTGCCTCCTGGACTTTGCATTGGTTAATTCTTTGCTGGGTGTTTTGCTGTAGTCTCTTTCTCTGGCTTCTTCCCATTCTTCAAGTCTCAGCCTGAAAATTCTTGTCTGGAGAAGTGTTCTGGAATCCCAGCCTAGAGACACCCACTTTAACTCTCCCTTGGGGTCCTTACACACTCCCGAAAGTGCCTTGTGTGTTCTTAAACTGCGTGTAGGAGAATAACAGAAGCAAGTACAGGAAGGGATACGTAAGGTGGTCTGCTCAGCCTCTGGACTCGACTGCCTGAGCATAAATATTCTGTTCCTTGTATCAAGTTAGGAACTTTGCCATGCCTCAGTTACCCCAGCTGTAAAACGAGAAGAATGGTGTAGAATCTCTCACACCGTACTAGCTTTTACACTTCAGTTTGTTCTGTTTTGTTGCTGATACAGGATCTTATTATGTAGCCCAGACTGGCCTCAAACTTATACTCCTCCTGCTTTCCAAGTACCAGGATCACAGATGTGCGCCTCCTTACGCAGCCTCCTTATAGGGTCCCTGTGAAATTCTGAGGGTTCGCATCTTAAGCCTCAGAACACTGGGCAGGCACACTGCAGGTACTCTGTCAGCGTTAGTCAATACTGTTGTTATTGTGTTTGGGGTGATGTCATCTATTTTTTCTCATTTGACAGCACATCACAGAGATCATCTGGCTTGCAAAAGCCATACTCTAAAAATGTCCAGTTACACTAAAGCCCCATAAAGCTAATGAGCGTGTAAGTCCCATGAGTGCCATTGCTTGACTGACCGCGCCAGAGTCCTGGCAGTCGCTCCTGCTGCACTGGTAGCTGCCCTGGGGCTCTGGTTGTCATGTGTTCAGGAGCTCTGCCCAGAGGTGTGAGAACAGTGCCTGACTGTGATAAGAACTCAGAAGCATCAGCCCTTACCACCCCCGTGTTTGCTTGTCAATTCGGAGGCCTGTGGCTCGGCTTTGCCATTAGAAGCTGGTGTATCTAAGATACAAAGGCGCCACAATTCTGTTAGTCTGTAGTTTCTTTTTTATCATTTTAGCAACCCTGATGAAATTCTGGCACATGTATGAGATAAAAGAAATTCTTTTTTCCTAGGCATGATAGCACGTTCCTTTACACCTCAGCACTCGGGAGGCAAAGGCAAGTGGATCTCTGTGAGCTTCAGGCCAGCCTGGTCCCCATAGTGATTTCCTGGCCAGCCAGGGCTCCACAAATAGACCCCGTCTCAAAAAATAAAAGGTTTTTTTTTTTTTTTCAGTGCTGGGCCTCAAAGCTAAGGCCTTATATATGCTAGGGAAACATTCTGATATTGGGTTCTATCTTCAACCTGTTAAAAAAAAAATCTGTTTTAGCCGGGCGGTAGTGACACATGCCATTAATCCCAGCACTCGGGAGACAGAGGCAGTCGGATCTCTGTGAGTTCGAGGCCAGCCTGGTCTATAAGTATTAGTTCCAGGACTGGCTCAAAAAAAAAAAAAAATCTGTTTTAGTGTGACTTGTTTCTCTACCTGTTGAAAACACTAGACTGAATTTGATGAGGGGATACTATCTGCTTTTTGCTTAGTGTTGTGTCTTCCCTATATGGCCTGAAGTGCTGACATTGGAACCAGAGCGCCTTGGTTTGCCCTCTACCTGTGCCCCTCTGAAGCTGCAGGATTGGTGGCTTATCTGTAAACAAGGGTGGTTGTGATCTTATTCCTTACCGGTTGTCAGGCAATAAGTCATTTATCCACCAACACCCTTTGACCCGCAGTCAGAGGTCACGTTGTTGCTGGGCGGTCCTCCTCCCCTGCAGGCCCGTTTTTTCCTGCTAGCCCATGTTCCTCTTGCAGCAGGCAAGGGAATGGTGTCAAGAGTCAAGTGCTAGTTGCTGGTAAGCAGCATGGCTTCAGACGCGCAGGAGTGTGTGGAGTGCCCTGAGACTCATGACCGAGGCAGCTGTGCCATGTGGGGCCTGCCAGAACATGTATTTCTGACAGCCCTTCTCTTTGCAGGTGACGCTTGAGAAGGTGCTTGGCATCACAGCTCAGAACAGCAGTGGGCTAACCTGTGACCCTGGCACAGGCCATGTAGCCTACCTGGCAGGGTAAGCACATGGGTGGGCTTCAGCAGCGGGTTGCTGTTGAGAAATTTGGAGTTGAAGCCATTGGTACATCTCCCTGGGCCTTGGCTTCCTGTCTGTAGGATACAGACAATGCTGCTCCCTCTGAGGGCTGTGGCAAGGACTCCGTTCTCACCATCATCTGTGTCTGGAGCAGTACCTGGCAAGTCAGTGCTCGGAAAGCCCTTTACTCATGACTGCAATGTGAGGTGGTAGCAATTATAGGAAACTCAAGTGGCTAAAACCCAAACTCACGTCCGGCTCGACTACATAGACCCTTCTTAGAGCCTCTGCTCCTAGCTAGTAGCCCTCCATTCCGGTAGTTGACAGAACTGGAGGAGATTGTGTTTAGTCCAGAGATTCTGGTCTAGCTTGGCCCTGCTTAGGCAATGAAAGAGCCTTCTCCTCCACCCTGCAGAAAGATAGGGCCGACTAGACTTAGTAACAAACAGTATCTATTAATGAGACCTTGGGACACAGTCCAGGACAGGACAGGCTGAGCTGTTAAATCCAGCTGGGGTATATTCACTCCCCACTGCATTTCTGACCTGGGTGGCTTGTGTAAAGGACTTTCCCCCTCTGGGCTTCATTCCTCTATGTCAGCTCTAAAGAGCCCTTGGCCTCAGCAGGCAGCCGTGAGGCCTGTGTAAGCCTAGGGCCTCCTGGAATAGTCCCTACAAAGAAAGTGTTTGGTTCTATTTAAGAATATATATATATATATTCTTATATATATATATATATCTGGGTGGTGGTGGTGCACACCTTTAATCCCAGCTTTTGGGAGGCAGAGGCAGGTAGATTGCTGTGAGTTCGAGGCCAGCCTGGTCTACACAGCAAGTTCCAGGACAGGTTCCAAAACTGAGAAACCCTGTCTCGAAAAACCTATACATATACATGCATATATACATACATATATTAATAACAAGTGCCCAATATTTCTCAGTATTAATATCTGGAGAAAGGGGGAACCAGAAAGAGAATCTTCTGCCTAGAGGGAGGGAGCTTATAAAAGCTGGAGAGGTATCTCAGGAGTAGGCGGCTTGCCTAGCATATTTAAGACCCTGGGGTTCCATCCTCAGTACCACCAAAACCAAAAGCTCCTTGGCACAGGAGCCTGAGGCAGGAGGAGTTCAAAGCCAGCCTAGGCTACATAATGAGAAAAACAAACAAAATCAGAAGGAGCCATGTTGACAAATGACTTTTTCTTTGGGGAGAGTCATGCCTGGACCCGGTGCTTCTCCCAATCCCCCAGTTCAGACGTGCTTTCCTCTTTCCCCAGCTGTGTGGTGGTGATCTTGAACCCCAAAGAGAACAAGCAGCAGCATATCTTCAACACGATCAGGTAGGCGGGGCCTGGGCATGTGGTGGGGTTGGGGAACCAGGCTGCTGTCCTCATCCCTTTCCGCACAGAGCCCGGAGTTACTCGTGGGTGGTGACTCATTTACTCAGCAGTGGTCCCAGGGACTGCTTTGTGCTAGGTACTATCTGGGTAATGGCAACCTAGCTGTGAGCAGGGACAAGCATCTGCCCTCTAGAGCTGACAGTGCGGGAGACAGACGTCAACCCACCAGCAGATTACCAGCTGATTGCCATCAGTGTCACAGAGGAAATGCTTGCAGGGGTGGGGCGTTGGGAAGAGAATGGGGAAAGCTATCTCGGCGGCCTCCCTGAGTTTGAGACCTAAAGGAAGCGATGATACCCATATGTCGGAAAACTAGCAAGAAGTGCTACAAAGGTGAAGAGACAGGTGACCGGCAGAATAGCCATGGGCCCAAGTGCTGGGCACCGGAGCAAGAGAGGAAAGAGAAAGCTGAAGCAGAACTGTACCACCACTTTGCATCTTGGAGAAGGAGCTGTATGTCATACTGAGTGCCAAGAGATGCCACCGGATGGCATACACAGGCCAGGGAGGATGGTAAATCATCTGTAGAGGTGGCAGAGTCACATAGAAGCCAGGTGGATGGCACGTGAGCCTATCATCTCAGCACTTAGGATGCTGAGGCAAGAGGCTACACTTCATGAGATCTTGTCTAAGAAAACGAAAACAAAGTACCTAAAACCAGGATTGAAACAAAGGAGGAGCTAGGGCTGTAGAGTCCGGGCATGGCCTTGCTTCTAAAAGGCATGGCAGCTAGTCTGCCCTTCAGCCCACGTTCAGGCTAGTTAGAGTAGAGACAACAGCTGGGGACAGTTCCGTCTATACAGTGCTTGCTGTGCCAGCGTGAGGACCCACTCCAGTCCCCGGGATCCACATAAACAGTTAGGTGAGGCACTCATGAGCCAAGCGAATCTGAGTTTGAGACCAGCCTGATCTACAGAGCAAGTTCCAGAACAGCTAGGGCTACTCAGAAAAACCCTGTATCACCCCCTCCCCAAAGTTAGGTGTGGTGACAGTGACACGTGCTTATATCCCCAGTGTTGGGGATGTAGAAATGGGGATCCCTGTTGGCTCACTGGCCAGCTAGCCTAGCGTAACTGGTAACCTAGGCACCATCAAGAAATCCTGTCACAAGAAAATGAGGTAGGTAGTGCCTGAGGAGCCACAGCACTGAAAGTTGACCTCTGGCCTTCACATGCACATGTGCACACGGTACTGGAAGCATTTGGTGTTGGGGTTCCTAGAGCACTCAATAAGCGCATCTGCATGTGTGCCGGTGTCCTCCCGTGAGCACCACTTCTCTAGTTAGGCCAAGGCTGTACCAGCTCCTTGTCTGAGTTTGAGGGCTCTGTTACAGGGGGAGGGTCTTGGGAAGCTCACTGGGGAAGAAAACGGAATCTCCATCCTGGGTCTGCAGTGTTTGGTGTTGAGGGAGGAAAAGCCCTTTGCTTCTGTTCCGTTTCCCCCAGTGCCACGCTGGGCACACAGGCTATACTGGCTGTGTAGGAGCTACTGGCACTTGTTCCTTCAAGCCTAACCCCAGCCTTGGGGATCAAGAGTGGGCAGAATGCTGAGAGCACAGTCACCCTTGGTGGGACCAGTGACAGCTCTTTTCTTGTCCTCAGGAAGTCCCTGAGTGCTCTGGCCTTCTCCCCAGATGGGAAATACATAGTGACAGGAGAGGTAAGTCTGGCCTCAGCATCTGGGACAGGCCTTGGAGCCATTCTTTCTGCTGCCAGCAGGCCTGGGGATCCCCAATTGACTAATTTCAGAAAAGGCCTGTGTCCGATAGGGGAGGTGATCAAGTCATGGCAATCTCAACTTCAGCCTAAACAGTCCCTCAAACCCTGTCTGGCACACTGTTCAGCAGTAAAAACGACCTTACCCTGCCACCCCACCCCCAGAACGGGCACAGGCCAGCCGTGCGCATCTGGGATGTGGAGGAAAAAACTCAGGTGACGGAGATGCTGGGCCACAAGTATGGTGTGGCCTGCGTGGCTTTCTCACCCAATATGAAGTACATCGTATCCATGGGCTACCAGCATGACATGGTCCTCAACGTTTGGGACTGGAAGGTAAGAGCCCAGAGGTCCTGAGGGCACATGGGCCAGCAGGGAGTCTCCAGTGTCCTAAGCCTGCTCCCACTCTTTCAGAAAGACAGTGTGGTGGCTTCCAACAAGGTGTCATGTAGAGTCATCGCCCTGTCCTTCTCTGAGGACAGCAGCTATTTTGTCACCGTTGGGAATCGGCACGTGAGGTTTTGGTTCTTGGAAGTCTCCACTGAGGCAAAGGTGAGCTTGTGTCCCCACTCCAGCCAGGTCTCGGAGAGTCACTTGCAGCAGCAGCGTAGGCTCCTGTGACCACCCAGGACTTGGAGGACTCGTCACACAGGTCATCAGGTTCTCAGGCGTCCAGGTGCTCACTAGTAAGTGCTGCTGGATCTGCCCCAGGCCAGAGCTCACTAGAGGACCACTGCTTCTTGGCCTCTCTGCCCCAGTGCGGGCTCTGCTTTTTTCCCTTCTCTAACTGTGTCAGGAAGGGGCCCAGTGAGCACGGCTGAGCACTAGGCAAGGGGGTAGTCACTAACATGTCCTTCTGTGCTTCCAGGTGACTGGCACAGTGCCCCTGGTGGGGCGCTCAGGCATCCTGGGCGAGCTGCACAACAACATCTTCTGTGGTGTGGCCTGCGGCCGAGGCCGGATGGCAGGCAATACCTTCTGTGTGTCCTACTCTGGCCTCCTCTGCCAGTTCAATGAGAAGAGGATGCTGGAGAAGTGGATCAACCTGAAGGTACCCTGCTCCTTCTCCGCCAGCAGTCAGTTGGGAAGAACATCCAGGGGTGTTCTACTGTGCACTGACCTGCTGGTGCTTTGGGAGGGGCTGAGGCGTTTGTGTTTTGTCACAGACAGGGTCTCCCCTTCATTGTGAGGTTGAGTCTGTCCTCAGGCCCATGATCCCCTGCTTAGCCTCCTGAGTGCTGCAGTTGCAGGTGCACACCCCGTGCCTGGTATCGTTAGTGACTGACTGTCCAGGTTCTGTGTGAGCCAGTCGGGTGGTGGTGAAGCACACCTTTAATCCCAGCACTCAGGAGGCAGAGGCAGGTCGATCTCTGTTGATTCAGGACAGCCAGGGCTACATAGTGAAACTCAGTCTCAAAAAACCGAACACCCGCCCCCCCCCCAAAAAAAAAAGCCACACAGGCTCCATATGAGAGTCTCCCTTTCCGAGTTTGCTCATCTCCTCATCCGTTAAAGCAAATACTAGGCCAGAGAGATAGCTGGGCCAGAGAGATAGCCGGGCCAGTGAGATAGCCGGGCCAGAGAGATAGCCGGGCCAGTGAGATAGCCGAGCAAGGAAAAGTGCCTGGGCCTGAGGTCCTCACTGAGAAAAGAACTAACGCCACAGATTGTCCTCTCGCTGTCACGTGTGACTGTGGCACCAGAACATCCCTTCCCCCTGAACAAATAAATCAGTAAAAATTTTAAATGGAGCCAGACGGTAAGCCTTTAATCCCAGCACTTGGGAGGCAGAGGCAGATGGGTCTCTAAGTTCAAGGCCAGCCAGGACTACACAGAGAAACCATACCATCTTCCTCAAAGTTGACAAGGAAGTCACGTGAGATAATATGCAGATTTTTTTTCTTACAGTTTCTTGAGCCTACTATTTTTTCAGTCAAGAAAGAAAAGCTGGGGCTGGAAAGATGGCTCAGAGGTTAAGAGCACTGGCTGCTCTTGCAAAAGTTCTGAGTTCAATTCCCAGCAACCACATGGTGGCTCACAACCATCTGTAATGAGATCTGGCCCTCTTCTGGCCTGCAGGCGTACATGCAGGCCGAACACGGTATACATAATAAATGTAATAAAATGTAATAAAAGTTAGAGTTGTTTTTTTTCTCCCAGAACCTGAGTTTGAGTCCACACTGTCAACCTGCTCCAAGCTCAGTTGGGTACATTGACAGTGGGTGAGAGAGATATGCTTTTTGCTCCTTTCCCTGATTGGCCTCTGTGACTGCCCCAGAACTTGCCTTCAGGGCTTATAGCATGTAGAAGACTTCCAAATTTTATGTCTTCTAGGAATTTAAGTATCATTTTTAAAAAAAAAAAAAAGAGGAAAAAGGAAAAGATTATTTTATTTTTACTTGTGTGTAGTGTGTTTGTGTAAATGAGTGCAGTGCCCACAGAAGCCAGAAAAGGACATCAGATTCCCTGGAGCTCGAGTTACAGACAGCTGTGAAGTGGCCAGTGTGGTGCTGGAACCCAGACTCTGGACCTCTGTCACCACTCTAGAGGCAGTGGGACCTGGGAGAATGGAGCCGATGAATGAGGCAGACTAGCATCTCATGCAATAGCCAACTTTATCCAGACCGTCAGTGTGTACTCTGAGGCCTCAGCAAGGTCACCTGAGCACAAGGGCAAGCCTCAAGTGGCCGAAACATGTTTTTCCAGAGGCACAGAAACTAATAACAATAGCCAGGTGTAATGAGTGATCTGAAGTAAGCTCACTCCTGTCTGCTACACCTGGGGGGGGGGGGGCACAAGAGCATAGTCCAAGAACAGTTCTGTGTTTTTGTTTGGTTAGTTGGTTTTAGTTTTTGATTTTTTGAGACAGGGTTTCTCTCTGTAATCTTGGCTGTCCTGGAATTCACTCTGTAGAGCAGGCTGGTCTCAAACTCACAGAGATCCGCCTGCCTCTGCCTCCTCCCGAGTGCTGGGATTAAAGGTATGTGCCACCACAGCCCTGCTCAAATCCATGTTTTTGAAGAAAAAAAAAATGACAAGACTCTTGTCTTGGTTTCTTGGAGTGTCCTCACAAGTGCTCAGAAATCTCCTCACACAGCTCCAATCTTGGACCATGTTCCAAAGGTCCCTAAAGGAGCAGTAGGCACTCAACCACCGAGCCGTCTCTCTAACTCCTAAACATCGTTGAAAATAAAATATGCATTTTTTTGTTACAGTGTTATAATGCTGAATGTGAGTGTGGTATGTCTGCGTGTGTCTGTGTTTACACACGAGTGCAGGTCCTCATGGAGGTCAGGAGATGGTGTAGGATGCACTGGCCCTGGAGTACAGGGGGTATGAGCTGCCTGACCTGAGCTATGGGAAGCTCGGAACCCTCTTCCAGAGCAATAAACACTTGGAACTGATGAGCCTTCACTTTCAGCCCTTTGTTTTTCGATTTTCCTTTTAATCTTTTTATATCTTACGCAACTTTAAAGCAAGCTAAAAGCTAGTTTGTTTGTTTTAATTTAGACAAGAACTCATTATAGAGCCCAGGCCGGCCTCAAACTTGTAATCTTTTAACTTCAGTTTCTCTAGTGCTGGATTACAGTTATACACCATCACCAATGGTGTAAGGAAACCCCTTTTGTTTGGTAAAGTGTGGTGTTGCACTTGGTCCTAGCACTTGGAAAACTGAAGCCAGAAGATTGCCAAAAATTCCAGTATAGTTCAGGCCCCATAGTGAGATCCTTTCTCAAAAAACAAACAAAAAACAAAACAATACAGAGAGAGAGGATTTTTTGTTTTTGTTTGTTTGTTTGAGATGGGGTTTCTTTTTAGCTTTGTAGCCTGTCCTAGACTGCTTTGTACACCATGCTGGCCTTGAACTCACAAATCCGCTTGCCTCTGCCTCCCAAGTGCTGGGATTAAGAGCACCACTGCCCGGCTGAGAGAGAGCTTTTGACAGAGCACTAAATGACTCACAAATTAAGTCCCATAGAAAACTGAAATCTGTCGAGAATCTGGCGCTTATGATGTATTTATTTTTATGTGTATGAGTGCTCTGCCTGCATATCTGTCTGTGCACCACTGTGGCTTGCTGCCTGTGGAGGTCTGATGAGGTCATTGGATCCCCTGAAACTGGAGTTATAGATAGTTGTGAGGGCACTGTGTGGGTGTGTGTTGAACTTGGATCCTCTGCAATAACAAGTGTTCTTCACTGCTGAGCCATCTCTCCATCCCCACTGATTTTTTTGCCCACTGTTAAGTCGCCTGTGAACAGCGGTCACAACTCTGCCCCAAGTCATGTGCCTGCATGTTGGCACATCTTCAGTCGTGACTATCCTATATTCTGATTTCAAAATAATATAAAACACCAAGTCCACTTGGGTATGTCCCGCAGGTCTCCTTGTCTTCCTGCCTGTGTGTCAGTGAGGAGCTGATCTTCTGTGGATGCACAGATGGGATAGTCCGCATCTTCCAGGCCCACAGCCTGCAGTACCTTGCCAACCTGCCCAAGCCACACTACCTGGGAGTCGACGTGGCACAGGGCCTGGACTCCAGGTACTTCCCTGCCCTGCCTTGGGAGAGGGAGGGTGTTCAGAGTCTGTTCACTGGCATCCATCTGCTTGAGTGTCCATACTGTAAATACTAACGATTGCTCTTAGCACTGAGCATTAGTGCAGCGAATGAAGCATGAAAGTCCTGCTCCAGAGACAAGCTTCAGGGTAAGGGGCACTCCAGCATCGGGGAAGACATGCTCAGAGCAGGAGCGAGGACAGCGGAATGTGCTCCCCTGTGTTGTAACATTTACTAAGCAGCTACTCAGTGGCAGCCCAAGGCAGAAAGCAGGAATCCGAGCCAGCAAAATCTCTGCTGGCATCCAGGTGTTGTGCCACACACCTTCAATCCCAGCACTTGGGAGGCAGAGGCAGGTGGATCTCTGAATTGAGGCCGGCCTGGTCTACAGAGTTAGTTCCAGGACAGCCAAGACTACACAGAGAAAGTCTGTCTCAAAAAAAAAAAGGAAGGAAGGAAGGAAGGAAGAAAGAAAGGAAGGAAGGAAGGAAGGAAGGAAGGAAGGAAGGAAGGAAGGAAGGAAGGAAGGAAGGAAGGAAAAGAAAAAGAAAAACAAACAAAAAAGAATCTCTGCCAACCAAACTTCTGTGCCAAGAAACCTCAGTACAAGGAGGGAGCTCCATGAAGGTGCAGATGAGACATGTCTCGTGCTGAAAGAGAGCAGTGACTCAGAAGCTTGCTGGGTGGCCGTGACCCCTCAGTGTCCCGTAGGAGAGGCCGGCTGTGTGGTTAGCAAGTTAAATGCCATAAAAGGACAGCACACTGGGTGCTGCAGGACTAGCAAAGGGCTGTGAGACTGACTGGGTGGCTGGAACGCTGACAGAGACCAGCTGGCCTCGCCCGTGTCTCTTCTGAGGTTTGTGGGCTGGCCATAGGGGGTTGCATGATAAGCCCTTGAATGCAGAATCATTTGCTGTATCCAGAGTGGAAGGAAGGGCCAAGCTGTGCCTGTTCCCTTGTTGTAAGTCACTTGTGGAATGTGGCATGGTGTCTAACCATGGTGGGCTCCCTCTTTGTAGATTGTTAAATCCTGGGCCAGCAACATTCCAAGAGGAAGCTGGATGGGGTGACTGGGTGTGTAAAGGAAAGAGAAAGTTGAACAAGCTACAGATCATGGCATATTGCACTAGCCAGACTGCCTAGCTCCTCTACCTACTGTAGTGTGCCGTGTGGTCTCAGGTAGTCAGTGTGCCCCTCTGAGTTTGCTTCCTCATCTCTCATCTGAAAAACAAAATTGCTTTTCCTGGTAGTGGTGAAGAATTGAATAGCCCACAGCAAGTACTTAGTGAGCTACAGTCTTCACAGGAAACTCAAGGCCTAGGGACTGCCCCTTGCACAGCAGTTTTGGATCAGTTATTAGTGAGCCAGACAGAAGAGAAGAGGCCTGAGGTATATGTTTACTTTCTCTCTGTACAGAAATGGGCAGAATCTTGGGTTGAATGGAATGGGAATAGACTGATAATTGGTCAGTAACTCAACGGGTCATTGTGGCACACACCTATAGCAGATCTTTGTAAGTTCAAGGCCATCCTGGTCTACACAGCAAGTTCCAGACCAGCTATATAGTAAGATCCTATCTCAAAACAGAAACAAGGGGCTGAAGAGATGGTTCAGAGATTAAGAGCACTGGCTGCTCTTCCAGAGGTCCTGAGTTCAATTCCCAGCAACCACATGGTGGCTCACAACCATCTGTAATTTGATCAGGTTCCCTCTTCTGGCATGCAGACAGAATTCTGTATACATAATAAATAAATAAATTTTAAAAAACAGAAACAAAACAACAGCAAGGAACTGGTGAAATGACTCAGGGATTAAGAGCACTGGCTGCTCTTCCAGAGGTCCTGAGTTCAATTCCCAGCAACCACATGGTGGCTCACAACCATCTGTAATTTGATCAGGTTCCCTCTTCTGGCATGCAGACAGAATTCTGTATACATAATAAATAAATAAATTTTAAAAAACAGAAACAAAACAACAGCAAGGAACTGGTGAAATGACTCAGGGATTAAGAGCACTGGCTGCTCTTCCAGACCTGCTTCTATTCCCAGCACCCACATGGAGACTCATAATAGTCTAACTTGCAGAGAGTCTGGTACCTCTTCTGACTTCTAGGGATACCAAGCACAAACATGATACAGACATGCACTAAGCCAAAGCATCCCTGCACATAAAATAACAACAATAACCCCACCTCCCCCAGAATTTAAAAAAAGAACACCTCGGATTGCTTTCACAGGACTCTTCCCTTTTTAGATTTCATTTTGTAAACCTGTGTTATAGAGACATGGGACACCAGTGATGACTTCTACTTCCTGGCTATATAGTAGTAGCCAATTTTGCCTTGAATTTATTATTTTCTCTGTACCCACCCCAGGGCTTCTCTACGTAGCCCTGGCTGTTCTTGAACTTGCACTGTAGACCAGGTTAGCCTCAAACTCAGAGATCCGAAAGCCTCCACCTCCCAGTGCTACGATTAAAGGTGTTCGCCACTATTCTTGACTTTGGATTTATTTTCAGTATGCTTGTTGGTATGTAAATTCCAGATGAAAGATCTGTTGATCATCTCACCACTGATGTGTGTGGTCCTTGCACCACCTACAGGGCAAGCCAGTTTTAGCTAAACTACAGCGGGCACCACCACTGTTTCGCGTTCTTCATGGAGCTGCATGCTTCTGTAACTTCTCACAGCCTTATTTTCTTTTCTGATCTAGCAATAAGTAATAAATGCAGTCACTATCATGACAAAGAATGTGCTGTCATGGCCAGACCAGAGACAGGAATGGCTCGCTGGCATTGATGGTGACTGACCCATATGGCTTTGGTAGCTTCCTCTTCCACAGAAAAGCAGAAGCAGTCTACCCAGATACCGTGGCACTGACCTTTGACCCCGTCCACGAGTGGCTCTCATGTGTCTATAAGGACCACAGCATCTATATTTGGGATGTCAAGGACATCAATGACGTCAACAAAATGTGGTCAGAGCTCTTCCATAGTTCCTTCGTCTGGAATGTGGAGGTGAGACCATCTTTCCCTCCTTCCCTTTGTCCAGCTGTGTCTCCACTGGGGCTCAGCTCGTGTATCCCCCATAGAGCCTAGAGAACTCATTTGACCATTGGGTGAAAAGACACAAATTGAGCTGGGTTTGGTACACACCTGTAATCCCAGCACTTGAGAAGCAGGCAGAGTAGGAGTTCAAGGTCATCCTTGGCGGCACGGAATATTCACGCCCAACTGGGGTACGTGAGAGCCTGTCGCAAAGAAAGAAAAGAAAAATTTGGACAGGATTGATGACCCAAGCATACTATGTATATAT